ATTACCATTAATAATCGGAGGAAAAAAGTTTTGAAGGTAAAACTTCTTTTGCGAGAAACCCTCAGGGACACAGGCAGTGGAGTGGTGAGGCAGTCCCTGAGGTCAGGTTCTGAGTTCAGAACCAGGGCAAAGCACAGAGCAAGCAGCACTCAGGTCTTCCCAGTGAAGATGCTTTTGGTTGCAAGGAGCAGAAACTCCCTCACTCAGCTGGAGTCCTGAATTCATTATGATATCAGGTGTCAGAGAAACCAGGCCAAGAGATGCCACCAGCTTTCATGAAGCACCAGGATAGGAATACGGACACTAATATACGGACCCTCTCTTCCCATCCTTTCCCTCTCGTTTCCTTCTACACCGGCTCTGCGCCCCAGATCCACAGCATCCCTCAGTGAGTGCCTGCGTTACATGTCCTCACTTCCAGCCATGTGCGGAGGCCCAATTCCTGGGGTTTCTGATTGGCCAGCTCTAGTCAGGTGTCCATCCACGGTCCAATCAGATGTGACTAAGAGGGGAAGGGGCCACACTGCAAACATGGCTGCTTTGGGGCCTGGTTTGTGGACAGTGGGAAGTGCTGCCAAGTTCTGGGCCTGCTCTTTTCTCCTCTCTGCTCAAGCCTCTCCCTCCTCCTTCATGAGTTAGGCTGCTCTAGGCCACACAGCTGTAATAAGTGTCCTGGGGTCACTCATGGCCGCCCTGTGTAGAAGCTCCCTGTGGGCTATGAGTAAAGGTGATCCCCAGAGAAAGGGCATCCCCTAAATTTTCTTCGGTTTCCTGACATTTGCAACAGGACCACAGTTGGTGACTGATTCCCAGGCTGCTGGCTAGGATCTGACCCAGGCGGCACTTCTGGATTCCTAGTTTTTGCTGGAGAGGGGTTGACTCCCAGATTAACAGGCTGTCTGGCAAATGGTGGCCTTCGGCAGCACTTAGGTCCGAAAACACAAAGGTTGGGCTAAGAAAAGCATGATTAACTACACACACACACACACACACACACACACACACACACACAGTAGAAACAAAGAAACAAAAGACTAGTGTATCTTTTAATTGTCATTTTATAGCTCCCCACCGCAGCTGCCCCCCACCCTTCCCTTTGGTGACAACACAACGTCTGCAGGCTTCGGGGGACCAAGGAACAAAGCTGGGGCCTGGCAGCCCCACTACGCTGCCAGCCAGGGAGGACAAGTCATAATTACAAATTATCACAACAATTAGTGCCTGTACTTGGGGGATCTGCAAATTGAGGAGGCCCCAGCTCCTCATTGTACAGGGGTCTATTTGGCAGTGACCTTGCTCTGGAGACGATGATATTCCTTCAGCCTGTAAACCAGATTCAAAACAAAGAAAAATGTAAATTAACAATAACAACACACACTGGGTTCAATTAATTCAGGCAGAACTGGGGTGGCGGGGGCAGCTGTTTGTTAAGATGTGTGTGAAGTTGTCTTTTTTTTCTATTCCCTCTCCCGCCCTGGCCCCTCCTGCCCTCCAATCAGGATAATGTAATTAATTTATCTTAGGGGGAAAACATTGTTTGTCATTGTTGAAGACAAAGCGTTTAACTGGCAATGGGAGAAATGAAGAGGCCATTATGTAAGCCCTGTGTGTTCTGGGCCATTTAAAAGGGTTTATAGAGTCATAAAATACAAACAGAGGGCGCAGGAAGCAGGGGAGGTGGAGGTGACTGAGGGGAAGGGAGAGGACCCTCGGCAGATGGGCGGGATTCAACATCTCTCCAGGCATGAGCTGCCTCCGGGGACAAGAAACTGGCTCTGGGAGAAAATGGTGGCTCTGTGCCCAGGATATGTTGTTAGCAAGAGGAGACAGACTTGCATCATCTTCTAGATTCCAATCCCCATGAGAAGGGGGAGCTGGTGATGGAGAACCCCCAGCAGGACAGGTGCTCCGGACTCAGCTCCACCACCTCCTACCTGTGTGACCCTTGGAAAGTTACT